GGGGGGGGGAAGGCTCCTCTCCTTGGACCCTGCTGCCCTCTGCTGGTGGAGGTCCGGCTAACTGGCCAGTGCCCCGCGGAGGTCCGGAGCCTGGGCTGGGAGTCCCGTCCGGCGCGCAAGAGCCCAGCTCTCCCATTCACTGCTTTTGGTCTCACTCTTTAGCTTTCTGAAACGGTTTCCTCCTCTCTGAAGTGAGGGGATGATGAGGACTGAATGAGGGAGGTTGTGCAGAATGTCACTGACGGTGCCTGGCCAGACAGGGCTCTGTGATGCCCTTCTGGTGGGCAGACAGGAGCACCGGTCCTAGAACAACCCTGTTTCAGATTTGTGGGTGTGAGGGGAGAGCTCTTTGTCTTGCGTTCAGCAACAACCCCCGCCCCCACCCCCACCCCCACCCCTGGCCCCAGCTCCCCTCTTATTTATCTCAAGGGCAGAAGCAGGCTGAAGATGCATGCTCCCTCCCCCACTGGTTGTGTCCACATCGGAACTCCCATGGAGGGTGGAGGATGGAGGTTTGGAAGGCATGGGCCACGTCCTGCTCACTCCCACACCCCCCTGCTTGGTGTTCAGTGTTTGGAACGGGGACGGCACATGGTAGACAACCAATACGTATTTCCTAAACAAATGCACTGAGTGTCTGCCTTGCGATTAGGACCAGGCTTGGTGTCTCCGCAGACGTGAGCCCCACAGGAAATTCCAGCCCATCCTCCTGCCTCCCCTCAGAGGGTCGGAGGGTCGGGCCAAATCTGACCTGTTAAACGGAAGCATTTAGTCGGAGATCAAGCCCTAGAAGGCATGCAGGGTGGCCAGTCAGCTAGCCTGCTCTCGTGGATCGTGGATCGTGGACGTCTCTGCCCCTCAGCCTGCTCTCAGGTTTTGTTGGTTCCATCACCAGGGGCTTTGGGATGACTTCCTGGGGGGGCCATAAGTTCTCATCCTCCAAAAGAAGGGCCCCCAGGAGCAGAAGGAGGCCAGAGAAAACAAAGAGAGTGGCCCAAAGTGGGGTGATCTGGCAGCCACCCTCTCCTCCCTGCACCCAGATGTGGGGTTCAGGGTGCCGCACAGGCAGAGCGAGAGGGAAGCTTCGTGACTCACGGAGTGTGCCCCACCCTCCCGCCCAAGGATGCCAGGGAGTGGCCTGTTCTGGAGGAGGTGACTTGGGGTCCCCACCCCCGCCCCTTGCTTTCCCAGCAGACAACCCCAAGGCTGGCGGAGGCGGTGTGGAGACACGAAGACACTGCGGTTTGTGGCTCTTGGCCCCGGCTGGCCTGTGGGCTGTGCCTTCCCTGGGCTCCCACTAGTCTGGCCGCCGCCCTCCCAGGCCGGGTTGTAAGGAACTGAAAGGGGGGCTTGGCGGGTGAGGAGGGAGAACAGCAACCCAGAATAAAAACCCTGGTTCCTCGGCCAGGCGTCTCCAAGGGCTGCCACTCACTGTGCCCTCCCGTGACACCTGGGGTGGCTGTGTGGGGCAGCCTGGCCACATCCTCCTCTCCCAGTGCCGCCAGCGGGGAAGGGGCTCGCCTTCTCCAAGTTTCTCACGCAGGGGAGAGGCCTGCATTCTTCCCTCGCTCTCAGCGTCCCCACCCTTCCCGCAGTCCACCGGGGCCACCGCCTCGGCTTCCCAGCCCGGCAGTCACCCGGCCTTGACCTGTGTGGGCTTGTTTCTCGGGTCGTGTCTGGACGTCTGCGGCTGCCCAACTGGTCTCCCGCCCCGCCCCCGGCCGCCCAGCCGTCCTGCCCGGTCCGCCACCAGACTGTCATCTCAAGGAGCCCAAACCAGTCGTTCCCACAGCAGGGAAGCAAAGCCCAGTTCCCTAGCCAAGGGGCCCGTGTAAAGTCAATGGACCCTATGGGGTGCGTGCTGTGCGGGGGAGTGAATGAGTCGGCAGGTCCACGGGCTTTCCGGGCAAGGGGGCGTCTGAGCTGGGCTCTGAAGGATTTGCAGCTGGAGGGGGGGATTTGAACAGGCAGTGATCAGGAGGAAGGGCATGCCGACTTGGGCCAACAGTCTGAGCAAAGGCTTGGAGGCTTGGACTGGTCTGTAGTGCTCCCCGGTGTGGCTGGAGCGTCAGGTGTCCCGGCCTGAGGCAGGGGAGGTGGGCGGCAGCCAGACGTAGGAGAGTTCAAGTCCCCAGCTGGGGAAGCTGGACGACCTTCTCTGGGCAGAGGGGCTGCCGAAGGCTCAAGGTGACGTGACTGGATCCATGCTCAGGAGAATGGCTGTGCGGGCAGGGGTGAGGAGGAGGAAGAAGGCGGGGAGATTTACGTGGTAACCCAGGCAGGACTGGGTGTGAGCCTCAATTCATCCTGCGGGTATTTCTTTAGTGCTTCCTATATGCTGGGCACTGTTTCAGGCACAGAGGAATCCGACAAAGAGCCCAGTCTGTGCTCTTGTGGAGCTGGCAATCCAGTGGGGAGACACACAGGACCGTGCCACATGGTGACGAGTGGTTGGGACCCCTCCTCTGTGCTTATCCCAGGGCATTGCAAACATACCTGCCTTTGAGGGCACAAACTGCGATTCCCTGTGTAATATCCCTAGCCCTTGTCCTAGCATGGGGCACACCAGAGAGCTCCTGAGACACCAGGCTGTTGAAGGAGCAAATGATGGGAGTCCCTGGTTATTTCAGGGAAGGAGCCCATGCCAGCACCTACGTCTCCTGACCATTTGTTCAGCACCTTACCCTCAAGTATAGGACATCCTGCCCAGCCCAGCTGTACTTCTTGCAATGTGTTCCCTGCTTCCTGCATGCTCCTTTATGGCCGGCACCGTGCTAGGCACCCGACAAGCATTGTCAGTTCCTTCCCATAACAACCCTGTCGGATGGATATGATCGTTCCCATTTGCCAAATGGGATGTTGAGCCTCAAAGAGTATAATGCTCATAAAACCGCATAGCTATGGAAAATGGCAGCACTGACATTTGAACCCAGATCTGCTACTGACTCCAGAGAAGGAACACTCATCAGTGCCAACAGGCCAAGCCACGTCCTCAACTAGGGGCTGGGGACAAAGAGACAAAGCAAACAAGGGTCCTGATTTCACGGAAGTTGAGGTCTAGCGCAAGAAGACGGGTGTGCAAGAAGTCAGCGTGAAAAGCATTATAGCAACATAACCTCAGGGCTCCAGGAACATATATTTTGGGAAATTAGAGAAGGCTGTCTGAGCTGGGCTTGGGGAGGGCAGGAAGGGGAGAAGAGGGAATATTCTGGGTGTGGGGTATGCTTGGCGGGGAGGAGAAATCAGGCTAGAAATCTAGGCCAGGAAATGTTATTTCCCATTCCTGAGCAGTTTATAGTAAAACCTTGGAGTGGAGCCTGTAATCCACGTGGGGTTTCTGGAGCAGGCCAATAATATCATTTCACCTGCCTCAGCTCAGCTCTGTAACCCAAGCCATGAGCCCTCCTCTGGCACAAGTGGTCCTTCCCTTGAGCTGTTTGTCTTTGTCCTTTTCTCTCTCTCTTGTTTTTTAAGATTTATTTTTATTTATTTATTGTTTTTTTAAAAGATTTTATTATTTGAGAGAGAGAGCACAAGCCAGAGAGGGAGGGATAAACTCTAGACTCCCCGCTGAGCACAGAGCCCCACATGGGGCTCGATCCCAGGACTCTGAGATCATGACCTGAGCCGAGGTCAGATGCCCAAACTACTGAGCCACCCAGGCGCCCCAAAGATTTATTTTTAAATAATCTCTATACTCAACATGGGGCTCGAACTCACAACCCTGAGATCAAGAGTCACACGCCCTACCAACTGAGTCAGCCACATCCCCATGAAGTGGTCCCTCCCTTGAGCTGTTTCTTTTTTTAATTTTATTTGAGAGAGAGAGAGAGAGAGCCCGTGTTAGAGTGTGGGGAGGAGCAGAGGGAGGGAGAGGGAGAGAATCTCTAGCGGACTCCATGCTGAACACGGATCCCGGTGCTGGGCTTGATCCCACAACTTACCTGAATCTCCAGCTTGCCCTACTGGTGTCGGACTTGCCAGGCCCTGTGATCCCATGAGCCAATTCCTTACAATTTCTCTCTCTCTCCGCACATACACACACACCCTGTTGGTTCTATATGCTTCTGTTTCTCTGGAAAACCCTAATATAATATTATCGAGTATATTACATATATTACATCTCTGCAATATTATATTTATCATAAACAAAAAAACCCCACTTGTGAACCTTTTGTGAGCACTTACTGGGTGCCAGGCACCTGCTAAGCTCTTTGCGTGTCTCTCATGATGCCCTTACTCCTCTAAAGGCTCCATGACATCATCTGTGATTGGTCCCATTTCACAGATGAGGATACTGAGGCGCAGAGGGTTCAGGTAACTTGCCCAAGGTCCCAAAGTGATAAAGCCAGGTTTGGATCCGGGTAGTCCCATTCCAGTGCCTACATGTGGTGGGTTCTTTTCTGCTATGGAACATGTGTGTAAAGCAAGACACGTGACATAACTGACAAGCAATGTCGTTTTAGTTGTTATAGTTACCACTGGATGGGCAGGGGGCAAGGGGACGGGGAAGGGTGTGAGCAGCGGCCCAGGGTCCTGGGAGTGCCAGGTCCCGAAGGTGCAGCCCTGGGAATAGCACTGAACAGGCTGCTTCCGGATGTGTGGGCCCAGGCTGGGAGCTGGGAGTCTGGCAGTCATTTTTAGGGGACCCCAGGAGTAGCCCTTTACAGGGCAGGTGGGCTCTGGAAGCCCCCTCCTCAGGCCTTGCGGGGGGGGGGGGGTTACGCTCTAGTCCAGGGATTGCAGCCCCAGGGTCAGGGGCCCGGCCTCGGTGGTGTCCATCTGTTTGAGGCGCAGTTCGGTGATCACAGCCTCGGGACTGGGTCCAGCCCAGCCAACTGGGCAGCTCAGCGCCCAGCTCCTTCCTGAGCTGCTGGGGGGTTGGGGCAGGGAGGGCCTCAAGACGTCAGGTCACCACGCAACAGCTCCGGGTAACCCTCCTCCAGAAGTTGCGACTGTGGCTGCTGAGGGCCACCTGCGCTGCTTCCTGGAAGACCGCATGGACGTTTTCTTGGAGCAGGGCTGAGCACTCGAGGTAGGCCACTGCGCCCACGGACCTTGCCATCTCCTGGCCCTAAAAGAGCGAATGGAGGGGGCTGCCTTGAGGTGGCGGCCTCTGGGGTGGGGGGAGGGCTCACGTCTTGCCTCCCCATAGCCCTCTTGGCCATCCTAGGGAGTCTCTAGGACAAAAGTGGAAGGTGAGTTTTTCCAGGACACCCACAGCTCCTGCCCCTGGCTTGACCAAGCACTCTCATGACTGCCTTGGGTTTCCTGCCTCAGTTCTGGGATGGGTCCCTGCCTCTCAAGGCACCAGCCAACCCATTTCACAGGTGTGTAGCAGAGAGGGGCCTGTGGCCTGAAGAGCTGTGGCCTCAGCTTACCGAACTGTGAAGTGGGTGGGTAGGATTACCTGAATGGGCACACCACTCACTCTCCTTTCCATAGGCAGAATCTTCTAGAGTATTCTAGGTACCATTTCCAAGCCCAGACCATTCCAAGATGACCCCTACCCTGACCCACCCCCTGAGTGTGCTGGACACTGCTGAGAGGCTGGGCGGGATCAGCATACCCCGAAGTTCCCCCTCCCAGGGCCCGCCCTCCACCCCTGGGCTGGGTTTCCTACCCTGTGGTAGGTCACAGGCTCCAACCTATTTTTCCGCAGCTTCTTCACCAGCGACTTGTCCTTGCGCAGGTCAGTCTTGCAGCCCACGACAATGATGGGCACCTCCTTGCAGAAGTGGTTCACCTCTGGGTACCACTGCGGGGAGGGTGGCAGTGTGGGTGTGTGTGTTAGCCATCAGGACTGCTGTCCCTCCCCGCAGATGGGGAGAAAGGGCCACCCTCTCACTCCCCAGGTGGATTTCAGCAATGATAATCAGCGCAGCCAACATTTAGGGAGAATTACTCTGTGCTAGGCTCTAAGACTTTACATGTATGAACTCTTCAATCCCCCAAGTCCCTACAAAGCAAGTTCTGTCATCGGTCCCATTGTACAGATGCAGTAACTGAGGCTCGGAGAGGCTACATAACTTGGCCTTGGTCATACAACTGGAAGTGGCAGGATTTGAGCCCAGGGGCTGGGGCCCAGAGCCCTGCTCCTTCCTGGTCTAGAATCCTGCCACTCTGCAGGCTACGGGCCCCCAGGACCGCCTCCCAACTGGGTAAAATAAAGAAATAAGTCATCCCTTAAAAATAAAGCAGCTCACAAAATGGTTGCAGCAGCTGTTTGCCCGTTGGAGGGAACACTCCTATTCTGTGTCAGCTGCTCTCTGGAATGTGAGGCTCCAGGGCCTGGTTATTTCAGCCTGGGCAACAACTGGGGAGTCTAGAATCCGGAGACAGGGGATTTATATCTCCAGGAGTGCATGCCTACTCAGTTTGTCTGTTCAGAAAAAACTGGCATCAAACCGTCTGGCTCCTGGAGCCAGATGGGGCCCGGGGTTGGGGGGGGGGTCCTGGGCTTACTCCCCATACTCCAACCCCTCTACAAAACTGCGCCTGATCCTGGTCTCCCCCGTGACTTCACCTTGCTAAATCCAACACTGAATCCTCAGCCTTCATCCTGCCTGAGCCCTGGCACCAGGCAGGGATCTCTCCCTCCTCTACCGCCTGGTTGGCACTTTGCCCTAGGACCCTGCTCTCTTGCTTCTCTCCAGGTGACCTTCCCATGTGCAAGGCTCTTCCCCACCAGTGGGTCCTAAATGGATCTGCCCAGCTCAGCCTGGCTCTCTCCCGGGAGCTGCAGACTCAGACCTCCATGTCTACCTGGCCCTCCAATGCGATGTCCAACAGGCCCCCATCTCCCACCTCCCTACCCTCCACTTGCTCCTTCTCATCTTGGGAAATGGCAAGGCCGCCTTCCACTTGCTCTGGTCAAAACATCTCTCCCACTCCCAACCTGGAGATACTACTGCTATTGGCTCTATCAGGTTGTTAGCGGGAGTAGACGAGTGAATGGGCAGAAGTGCCCAGAACGGTGCTTGGCATGAGCTAAGTTCTCAGTCGACATTCCCATTGTTGTGGCTCATGTTACTCATGCCGTCGTCACCAGCTCTGCTCCGATGAACCCCCGGCACGCTGTTTGCGTGCCATTCACAGGGAGGCCCTGGCAGCAGCCGGGCAGGAGCAGAACATCTCAGGGGACCACATCCCTGACACCTGTGGGCAGTGAGCAGCCTTGGGAACCCCTGACATGCCTGGGGTGGGGGCATCTTGGGAGGCTGCTGAAAGCTAGCAGTTACACAGAAGGGGGCTGCCCATACATGCAACCTCGGGCAGGCCCAGGCTGGGGAGATGCGGGGGCCTCTGGGTGACGCAGCACACTCAGGTAGGTCACGGTGGAAAGAGCAACAGCGTTCTCAGTCCAGACCCTGCCCCCAAATCCCTAAGGGACCTCTGGCAAGTTGCTGCCCCTGCTCTGGGCCTCAGTTTCCCCATATACACACCAAAGGTGCTGGATTCGATGTCATCCGGGGCCTGCTACGCTCCGACAGGCTGCGGAGTCAAGGGTGGGGACAGAGCAGGGTGGCCTGGCTGTGGGGGCTGTACCTCCCCCGTGCCCTGGTACCTACCCGGTTAGAGATGTTGTCAAAGCTGTGCGGGCTGGTGACATCGAAGCAGAGGAGAAGGACGCTGGCGTCAGGGTAGAACAGGGGCCGCAGGCGGTCATAGTCAACTTGCCCTGGGGAGAGTGGGGGTGGGCACTCCCTTCAGATCTTCTCCAACATCAGGGAGGTCAACCCAGCAGATGGGGGAGCCCGGATCAGGGCGTGGTTGTGTGCCTCGTGGTCTGATATAAATGTGGTGCCTGGATGGCCACTCCACGTGAACGTTTCCCTCCGGGCAGCGTTCCCCTGGCTTGCCCGTGGGCTGTGTTAGCCCTGGTCTGGGTGAGACCACTTGCTGAGAGAGTCCTGTTCTGGTAGGAGTCGGAGACAAGGCAGAGGTCCGGCCTGCAGGGACTGGGGCCATCGGTCCGAAGCCTGCTTTGCCCTGGGCTTTGCCCTGGGCTTGGGGGGTGAGGAGTAGGAAGCAGGTAGGACCCAGGACAAAGGCCCCTTATCCCCTGCATGGTCAGGTGGCTGCTGGGATACCCTGGGGTGAGCTTTCAGCTCTGGTATGGATTTGACTGAACCCTATGTGGATAAGGTCAGGAAGCAGGAGGGCAGAGGTCAAGGTCAGGCAGACCTTACAGAAGCTAAAGCCAGGGTGGAATGCTTAGGAGGCCAGGAATAGTTTACCCCTTGAGAGAAAAAGAGCTCTGGATCCCCCTTGTCTCCGGGACACAGTTGGCTACCCTCTGTTGGGGGAGGCAGCGGATGCAGGCGCAGGAGCAAAGAAGGTTCGGGTTCCTGGGGACCCTAATCCTGGCCAACACCTGTCCCTGGGAGATTGGTGAGACTGGTTGGGCCTCTGTGGTTCAGGAGGAAGGGGGCAGGGCTTGGCTCCTGGGCATAGGGGGCCCCGCCTCCCACCTGCACACCCACCTGCTGTGTCCCAGATTTGGAGGTTCAGGGGTTTGCCCTTCATTTGCAGATTAACGGTGAGCCGCTCAAACACAGTGGGGGTGTAGCTCTGAGGAAGAAGGGGGCAAGGCGGAGGTTGTGAGGACAGCTGCTGAAGCAGGGTGGGCCCTGGTGCCCAGGCCAGAGCCCTCGAATGCCTGTGGCACCCCCTGCCCCTTCTCTGGGAGTCTGACAGTCTGAGGGAGGGAGTTTCTGGGAAGTAGGTGGCCAGTGGGGGTGAGGCCTAGAGCTGCCACCTCCTAACTGTTTGCCCCAGTGCGGCACGGAACCTCCCCAGGCTTCTCAACGGTAAAGTGGGACCATGAAAAGCACCTACCGCAGTGTGTTGCCGTAAGGATTCAGTGCAGAGCCCGGCACACACTAAGCACTCCACATGTACCAGCTACTGTTATTTTTATCTTTGTCCCCTTGGATGGGGGACTGTCCCATTTCTGAGCCTTCCTTCATGCTGTCCCCTCCTCCTGGAATGACATTAACCTACATTTGTTCGTTCGATTGTTCATTCATTCATTCATTCATATATTCATTCGGTAAACAGTGGCACCTTCTCTATTTCTGGATACTGGGGAGCAAGTAATAAATCAGACTCACTGCCTACTCTAGGGAGCTTGTGGCTTTTGCGGGGGGGGGTCCCTGCTTTGCCTCTCAACCTCTCATAATCCAACCAAGACCCCTGCCCCATGCCACCTTCCCTAGGAGGCCCTTCTGGATCCCTTCCCAAGTCCTCTCCATTTCTGCCTTTCTTATCAGCCCTGTCTGGCATCAGGAGGAAGTCACTCGGGCCCCAAGCCCCACCACCCCAGGCCTAGGGCCTGAGTGCAGTCCCTCTCCATAAAGCCTGGACGAATGGAAACAGGGTGGGTTTGGTACACCGACAAAATGCAGGAATGAGAAGGGGGAATGTGCAACAGGTGAGGAGGTTTTCAAAACTGGACCACGACACAAGCCCCTTGCTGGAGTGGCATGCTGGACCAGCTACAGCTAGGGTCCCCAAGGCTCGCTCACTTGCTCAGGGTTGGTGGGTGGGGCCACAGCATGGGGAGACCCTGACCTCCTGTCCTCCCCACTTCCTAGGCCAGGTGGCGCCCGTACCTGCCTTGACTCAGGCGGACTTCAGGCCGGTCTGCCTGCCCGCCGGCCTGCCGGCACTCTGAGTCAGGCCCTGGGCTGCTGGGAGGGGCAGCCCCTTAATGGTGGGTCAGTGCGGTCCTCCAGGCCACTTGGGGAGGTACAGGGGGAGGGTGGGGAAAAAGGTGAGTCCCAGCGTGGGCTATGGAGAAGTCAAGGATGGCCCTGGGATAGGGGTTCAATCCGCCCTGGAACTCTAGTCACCTGTCACTCCCTCTACTAGTAGGTACAGACAAGGCTTCCACCTACCTCCCCAGCACCCGGCCTGCGCCGGGCCCCTCCCTTCGGGTCCCTTGCCGGGCGGGAGACAGTGTGACATGATAGCCATAGCACTGGCTTTGGACTCAGATGTTCCTGGCTTAGGACGGGCTCTGGCCCTCACCAGCTGTGTGACCTTGGGCCTGTCCCCTCACTGGTTAAAGGAGAAGAGTGTCCCTTTACAGTGTGATAGGGGAGACCACGCCAGCTGCTGTCCATCCCTCCAGGTGGTGTGTCCTTCCCCAGCCTGTCACCATGGAAGGGACTGACACCTGCGGAGCTTCCACTCACCCACCTCCCATCTGTGGCAGGACCCCTCCTGATCTGAGGTGGACGGCAGCCGGCCACGAAGCTCTGGGGGGGGGCATGTATCAGTACTTTGCAAATGCCTGTGGAGATGACACTACCATCCACATTTTTTTAGGGCTCTACTGTGCATGGCCCTCCACCTGGTCTCTGATCCCTGCAGCCTCAGGAAGTTAGCACTATCCCCATTTTCCTGATGGCACAGCAGGGAAGTGACTTGCCCAGGGAAACACAGTGCCAGCTGGCTACGGATGGAACCGGGTCTTTCTGGCTCAAGAGGCCAGGCTCTGTCCCAGGCCATTGGCCTCTCCTGAGGTCACTGACTCTCCAGCCCCTGGTATCAGGAGTGGACAGGAAAGCCCCATTGAGACCGCGTGGCTGGCTTGCTCCGGTGGCTTGTAACTGGCACAACCCTCCCCCCGGCCCCATAGACTTTGTCTACACCTTCTGTTGTGTTCTTTGAACCACCGGGCAGGGTCACTCTGACCAGTAAGTGTCTAATCTTATCTGTTGAGCTGTCCTTTGCCGGAAAGGCAGGGCCAGGTCTGAGCCAGACCAGGGTAGAGGTGACACAGGCTTGGGTCTGCCCTCATGGGGCTCACAGACAGACAGATGGATCATTACAGGATGGGGGAACATAGGTCAAGAGAGGAGAGTCAGGGGTTTCACACCCATGAGAGCCCCTGTGTGGACCAGGAGGGACTGAGCTGGTTCTGGAAGGCAGGGCTGGTCCTCCCTGCCCCCTCCTCTTCCCACTCTTCTGTGAGACCCCTAGGCTTTGGAATGGTTGCTAATCCAAATGTCAGCCAGGACTGGGCAGAAGCTGGTGCCCAGCCCGGACTTCCCTCTACCTCAGGAGCTCTCTCTACTCTGCTCCCTTGCTCTGAACCCGAGGCTGGGCCACAGCCAGACAAGGGTCCCTGAGGCCCCTTCAAATCCCAGCCTACTCTTTGCTTTTTGGGACACTCGAGGTCTTCTAGCTGCTGGGTCCCTGAGCTTGGAGGCCTGCCAAGAGGAGGAGTCTCAGGGCCGGAGCAGAAGGCAGAGCACTGGGGACTGTGGAGAGCGTCCTGGTCAGGGGCGGGGAGATCTGGGCTCTTGACCTGCACTACCAAGGCAAGACTGGGCCCTGCTCCCCAAGGCAACACTGTCCCTCTAGCTTCAATTTCCCCACCTCTAAAATGAGGCCTTTCCGGTGCTTGGACCTTGTGGTTCTTTTAAAAGAAGGTTCTTAAAAGGTTCTTTCTTGTGCCTGGAGGTAGAGGGGTCCTCAAACAGATGAGCAGCCTAGACAAGGACAGGTCCATCTCCCTGGTGACAAACATGTCCTCCCTTCCCCTGGCCGGCCCCAGCCTGCCCTTCAAAACACACATTCCATCAACTTCCAGATGCCCATTTCCATGTTGCAACCTCTCTGGAATCAGGATGAGCCTTGCCATCAAGGATGTCTCAGGGCCTGCGACACCCCTCCCCGCTGGTCTCCTAGACCCTGGCTGGCCTGGTCCCTCTCCCCACCATGCCATAAATTGTTGGGTTCCCTTGGGCAGCGCCTGGGGGCCCAGAAACTTGTCCCACCCAACTTAAAAAAAAAAAATGTGACTGGCCAGAGGAGGTGACGTCAGCTCCATAAACCACAAAGTAAGAGTTGGCTCAATGCTGCCGCAGTGAAAAGGAAGGTCTGACACTGTTACCAGGCCTAGCCTCTCCTGCCTCCCCCATCAGACTCCCAGGGGCCTACAAAGCCCAGGGGTTTGGAGGATGGACTCGCAGAACTGGGCTGAGCGGTGGCAGAGTGAATGGGTCCAAGCCCCATCCTGGTGCCTGGGAGCCCTCCTGGACAGGCTGAGCATGCTAGTGAAGGACTGACAGCCAATGTGCCCGGCGCGTCCAGGACGTCCAGGCCCACATGGGCTGTCTCTCAGGCCTACCCTAACTCCACCTCACTGGGTCACCCGCCCTCTGAGGTTGTGTGAGGAAATGGAGGCTCAGAGAGGGTAAGCAAGGTACCAAGGGCCACATGGCTTGTTAGAGGAGAGTCGAGGTGCCAACCAAGCTATCTGACTTGAGTCTGGTGTGCTCTGACCTCCACGACAGAGCCCACCAAAGGTCCCTTGTACATGCAAGAGCTGGTGGAGAAGATATATTTCCCAAATTTCAGTGAGTCCTTCCTGCCTCAGACTCAGAGCTGAGCCCTTGACCTGTGTTAACTCACTCTTCACAGTGACCCTGGACGGGGGCACCATCCTTCCTCCCATTACGTGGTCAAGAAAACAGGCACAGAGAGGGTAGGGGACTTGCCCAAGGACACACAGCTTTAAGTGACAATGCCATGATTCGAACCCAGGCAAGTCTGGCTCCAGTGTCCTCAGTCCCTCCCAGCCATGCTGGGCCACCAAGTGCTCTCTTAGGATCTGCGGTGTACCCAGGTTGCCTAAGTCAGTCCCTGTGACACCACTCCCAGGGAGGTGCCATTCTTGCCACTTTACAGATGATACTACTGAGGCCCTCGCTTCCGATGGCGGAGCGAGAACTGCCTTTGAGCCCACACTCCGCTGGGAGACCCCTTGGAGGGCCCGGTGCGTGCACCGGGGCGCGCGAGGCAGGGTCGGGGGCGCGGGGCCCGGAGGGGGCTGGCACTCACCTCGGGGAAGGACCCCTCGGCGAAGACCATCAGCAGCGACGTCTTCCCGCAGCCGCCGTCGCCGACCAGGACCACCTTGACGGACCGCGCGCCCTGCGGCGCCTCGGCACCCGCGGCCTGGGCCGCCTTCATCGCGAGCGGCGGGCGGGCGGACGAACGGGCGGGCGGGCGGGCAGGCGGGCAGCGGCGCGGGG